CCACCACGCCCACCCCGACCACCAACACATCCACCCCGACCACCAACACATCCACCCCGACCACCAACACATCCACCACCAACACCACTGACACCTCGGCGACCACCCCAACTGCGACCTCCACCCCATTGACCATCTCGGCTGTTCCCACCAACGCCACCACGGCCACCTCCAGCATGACAAGCCAACTTAGCATGACTACAAGTGAGTCTTCCTCCTTGGTGGCCCTCCATAGCCACGTCCCTTCTCCCTGACCTGGCCCCAGCGTTCTCCAGGTGGCTCCTGGGGTTTCTCCAGGCCGTGTCACAGCACCTGTGTCCTTGGCTCCCTCTCCCAGATCCGTGCTTGAATGGTGGCACGTGGCAAGATGGCAAGTGCAAGTGTCCCGGGGGCTTCCAAGGTGACTTCTGCAATGACCCCACCTGCAAAAATGGGGGCACCTGGGTCAACGGCCTCTGCCTGTGCCCCCCGACTTTCCAAGGGGACACGTGCGAGGACCTCAAGAATATCGTGGAGGTCAAAAATGGTAGGGAACTGCTCCATGGTGCTGTGGGGTGGCCACCAGACCGGGACTGAGGCCACCACTGAGGGGTCAGCTGGAGGTTGGGGCTACCATGAGGGTGTGGCCTGGGAATGGGACCACCATGGAGGGACAGACCTGGGATTGGGGCCACCTCAGAGGGATCAGCCAGGGGACAGGGCCACCAAGGAGGGACCAGCTCGGGAATGGGGCCACCATGGAGGGATTGAACCAGGGACGAGTTTGGGTCACCACGGAGGGACCAACCAAGAAATGGGGTCACCCTGGTGGGACTGACCTGGGATTGGGGTCACCCTGGTGGGACTGACCTGGGACTGGGGTCACCCTGGTGAGACTGACCTGGGATTGGGGTCACACTGGTGAGACTGACCTGGGATTGGGGTCACCCTGGTGGGATTGACCTGGGATTGGGGTCACCATGGTGCGATTGACCTGGGATTGGGGTCACCATGGTGGGACTGACCTGGGACTGGGATCACCCTGGTGGGACTGACCTGGGATTGGGGTCACACTGGTGAGACTCACCTGGGATTGGGGTCACCACGGAGGGTCCAAGCTGGTCCCCTGACCAGGGTCACCAGGGGTGGGGTGGGGACACCCAGCTCCCTTCCTTATGGGTCTCCTCTGCTTGGCCAAGTGACGATGAACGCGACGGTGGAGATGACGACCAAAGTCGATGTGACATTTAGTGAAGATCTCAAAGATCCAAACTCAGAAGCTTACCGGGAATTTGAGAGCAAGTTCCAGAACAAGGTCAGGGCTCAGCGATGCCAGGGGTGACCTTGGGGACAGCCCCTTGAGGGGGATGGGGACCATGATGAGGGCCTGGATCTTTTCTCTTTGTCTTCCAGACACGGCAGATTTATGGTCATATCGAGGGCTACAGAGGTGTGGAGATCAAAAACCTGAGGTGAGTCCTCACTGGTGGCCCAGGTGGGGTCCTGACCCTCTCCTGTGCTCCGGTGGGGTGGTTTGGGGTGAAGGAACCCATGGGGGGGTCAGTTTGAGGTGATTCCCTTCGAGTTTGGAGCATCCACATCCCTGCAAGCCACGTTGTGTCCATGGGGCTCCTCCAGGACGCTCCAGCCCCCCGTAACCGCGGTGTCCCTCCACACTGGGAATCCCAAACTGGTCCCAGTTTGGTCCAGAGCCAAGCGCTGCCCCTTCTCCTCGCAGCCAGGGCAGCATCGTGGTGGACTACGAGGTCCTCCTGGAGGTCACTGCCAACTCCGAGGCCAACGAGGTCGTGGAGAACATCTCTAAGATCCTTGCCACTGCCTTAAAAAACTACTCCGACTGTGAGAAGAACTGCACAGAAATCCAATGTGAGTGACCCCGGGGGTGACCACAGCCGGACCCCGGGGGTGACCACGGCCAGGCCCCGGGGGTGACCACGGCCAGACCCCGGGGGTGACCACGGCCGGACCCCGGGGGTGACCACGGCCGGACCCCGGGGGTGACCACGGCCGGACTCCGGGGGTGACCACGGCCGGACCCCGGGGGTGACCACGGCCGGACTCCGGGGGTGACCACGGCCGGACTCCGGGGTTGACCACCGCCGGACCCCGGGTCCTGGCTGGGCGTGGCTCCCTTGGGCTTGGCCACCAGCAGCTCCTCTCCCCATGCCAGGTTCTTTCTGCTTCAACGCCAGCGCTACCCAAGTCAAAAACGTTACCGTGCATGATGTGGAAGAAGGTAAGTGAAGCCCATGGGACGTTTTGGGTGTCCCCCCACCCCAAAAACCTGAGCCCCGTGTCCCCCCACCCGCAGGTCTCTGCAAACTTCACATCCAGAATGACTTCAAGGAGTTCTACACGCCACAGGTGACCGAAGGCGGCGTCGTCTGCATCACCCGCTGCGACGCTCGCCACAAAACGCCCCTGCGCTGCGTCTACGGCAGCTGCTCCATGACCCGGGCGGGGCCGGAGTGCGAGTAAGGACCCGCTCCCCAAAAATGGGCTGTCCCAAATCCCAGATCCCAAATCCCTTGGCTCTCATGGGCATGATGGCCGTGGTCTGCCCACCGTGACCACCGTGGTGACCCCACAGCTGTGGCCACCATGACCACCGTGACCATGGTGACCCCCCCACCATGACCACCATGATGACACTGAATAACCATGAATTGCATGGCCATGGTGACCCCAATGCCATGACCACCATGACCATGGTGACCCCCTCACCATGACCACCATGGCCACCATGACCATGGTGACCCCCTCACAATGACTACCATGACCATCATGGCCACCATGATGACCCCAAATACCCATGACCACCATGGCCACCATGACCACCATGACCTCCCTACCATGGTGACCCCCCACCATCATGACCACCATGGCCGCCATGATGACCCCAAATACCCATGGTCCCCATGACCATGGTGACCCCACCACCATGACCACCATGGCCGCCATGATGACCCCAAATACCCATGACCACCATGGCCACCATGACCACCATGATGATGCCAAATACCCATGACCCCCATGACCATGGTGACCCCACTGCCATGACCCCTGTGACCATGATGATGCCACCACCGTGGCCACCATGGCCACCATGCCTGTTCCCACCAGGTGCTCAGACCGGGCGGCCTTCTGGTACCAGGACCAAGTCTGCAGATCCCGCATCAGCAAGGTGGGGGTGGCCGTGGGCGTTCCGGTGGCCATCTTGGTCCTGGTGACCATCGTCTTCGCCATCGTCCTGCTGAGATCCCAGAGGCAGAAGGAAGAGTACAGGTAAATGTGTCACCGTGGGGTGAGCTGGGGGGGTCCCGTGGGGGTCCCGAACCTCATCCCTGCCCGTCCCACCATGCAGGAATAATCTGAGATCCCGCTCGGAGCTGTACGACAGCGATGACGGCAACTGGGACGCACCCCAAGGCTTTGCCGTGGGCAACCCGGCGGCCACCTGGGAAGGTAACGGGGCACGGAGGTGGGGATGGGGGTGGGCACGGAGGTGGGGTCTCTGTGGCACCCAGGGGTCCATGGCACCTCTTCTTCCACCCCACAGACATGGAGACCCCCAGCACCAGCTACATCAACCTGGAGAGGGTGGACACCTCGAGGAATGTGGGTGACACAACCCCGGGACCCTGGTGTGGTCCCCCTTTTTGTCCCCTACCCCATCATCATCATCATCATCATCATCATCATCATCATCCTCCCCTCTTCTTCCTCCCCAGATCCACATCCGGAGACCGACCGTGGTCCGCTGAGTGGAGCCACCTGAGAGCCAGCGGAGACGGGACATGGGGACACGGGGACACGGGGACACGGCGATGGGTGGAGGGGGGACACGGGGAAATGGGGGTGACGAAGATCGGGAAATCCACCGTCCTCTTCCTCCCCGCGCAGCTGTTTGCACACAGAACTATTTATAATTAAATATAGCATTAGTTTCATTGTCACTTCCTGTTGGGGACACGAGGTGGCTCCATGGCAACGACGGGGTCAGCGCTGGTGACAAAATGCAAATCTAAGGGTAATCTCATTTAAATCAGGGAAAGAAAATATTGGGGGTGAGTTAATTGTTAACGGAGAGATTGGAAACTGCCCTTGGGGGAATCCCGACCCTGAAGGGGTGACGTGTGTGGGAGAACGTGTCCTTGTCCCCAGCCCGGGAAGGAAATGTCACCCTGGAGGTTCGTCCGTGTCTCCTTCCCACGGGGACAAAGGGCTCAGAGCAGGGGGGGCAGGGCAGCTGTGGGGGCTCAGGGAGCAGGGGGCATGGAGGGGGTCTTGGGGTGGTGCCACCCATGGGTGGGGGGACATGGAGGGGGTCTTGAGGTGGCACCATCCATGGGTGGGGGGGGGCATTGAGGAGGTCCCATGGTTGTACCACCCTTGGTTTGGGGGGACATTGAGGGGGTCTCAGGGTGGTACCACCCATGGGTGGGGGGACATGGAGGGGGTCTCGCAGTGGTGCCACCCCTCAGACATGAAGGGGGTCTTGGGGTGGTACCACCCTTGGGACATGGAGGGGGTCCCTTGGTTTGGGGGGACATGGAGGGGGTCTCAGGGTGGTACCACCCTTGGGTGTGGGGAATTGGAGGGGGTCTTGCAGTGGTGCCACCCTTGGGTGTAGGGGGGCACATTGAGGGGGTCTCAGGGTGGACAATTGACCACCACGGCCATGCTCCCCACCACCACTATGACCACCACCCTCGCCACCATGACCACTGTGACCCCGTGACCTCCATGACCACCGTGACCCCCATGACCCCCACGACCCCCCCACCCTCTCCCACGCCGTGGATGGGGCACGTCCCGCTCGTCTGTTGGCACTTGGCCCTCAGCCAATTCCAGCCCTGCCCCACCGGGCTAAAATCAACATTTTTTTTTTTTTTACACATCTTTTGTTCCACCCTTCTTGGCATCCTGTGCCGGGAACGGGGGACAAAGTCCCAAATACCTGAAGGTGTGCCCAGGTGTGGCCCCAAACACACCTGGCAGGTGTTGGCATGCCCTGGGAGTGTCCCCTGTTGGAGCAGGGGGAGGTCCCAGGTGGGTGTGGGGGTGTCACCCCCAAAAACTGCCCCGAAAGGGTGGTGGGTGATGTTTGTCCCCTCCCCAAACCATCGCTGGGGTTGTCCCAGTACAAACCAGTAACACCAGAGACTTTTGAGTGACTTCATTAAGAACCAGAGGGTCCAGCCCCCTTTTTCAGGTGTGGGTGGGTGGGGGTGGGGATCCTCATCCTTGAATTTGGGGAGGGAGGGAGGTGGGGACATGACCTTAGAGATGGGGGCGTGACCTTCCAGGTGGGGTCAGGACCCAAAAGTGCTGCCAGAGGTGAGGCCCCCACATCCTAAAAGTGGGGTCACGACCCAGAACCGGGGTCACGACCCTGAAAGTGCTGACAGGAGGAGGATGAGGGATGCAGGGGGAGGATGAAGGTAGGGGCAGGGGGGGCAAGGTGCCCCCCAGGAGAAGGTCCAGGATGTCCTGAAGTGCTGGGGGGGAACCTCGTTCCGTGGGGGTGGGGATGATGGTGAGGATGATGATGGTGATCATGTTGATGATGATGATGGTGGTGGTGGTGATGGTGATGATGATAACGATGGTGATGATGATGATGGTGATTTTGATGTTGATCATGTTGATGATGATGATGGTGGTGGTGGTGATGGTGATGATGATGGTGGTGATCATGATGATGATGATGGTGGTGGTGGTGATGGTGAGGATGATAACGATGGTGATGATGATGAAGATTTTGATCTTGTTCATGTTGATGATGATGGTGATGATGGTGACGATGGTGATGGTGATGATGGTGATGATGGTGGTGGTGATGGTGATGATGATAATGATGGTGATGATGAAGATGATGATGTTGATGTCAACATTGATGCTGATGGTGCTGATGTTGATCATGTTGATGATGATGATGACGATAATGATGATGATGACGATAACAACGATGATGAAGATTTTGATGTTGATCATGTTGATGATGATGTTGACATTGATGGTGATGATGATGTTGATGGCGATGACATTGATGACTTTGATGATGATGACAATGACGATGACAATGATGATAACAATGAGGATGATGATGATGATAACAATGATGATGATGAAGATTTTCATGTTGATCATGTTGATGATGATGTTGATGGCGATGACATTGATGACGATGATGATGATGATAACAATGATGATGATGACGATAATGATGATGATGAAGATTTTCATGTTGATCATGTTGATGATGACGTTGATGGCGATGACATTGATGACGACGATGATGATGATGATGATGACGATGATGATGATGATAAACAATGATGATGATGACGATAATGATGATGATGAAGATTTTCATGTTGATCATGTTGATGATGATGACACAAATGGTGATGATGATGTTTTGGTGATGACATCAATGACATTGATGACGATGATGGGGTTGATGATGACAATGGTGATGATGATGATGGTTACGATGAAGATGACAATGATGACGATGATGATGATGGCGAGGTCCTGGTGGTGGAAATCACCGCCCCAGCGCTCCCCAGCCCACCACGTCTCAGAACTGCGGCCGGGGGATTCGGATCTGTTGGGATGCATCGGAGAAGATCCGGGGGGAAAACGGGATGTCAGGAACATCCAGGGGGTGTCAGGAACATCCGGGGATTCGGATCTGTTGGGATGCATCGGAGAAGATCCGGGGGGAAAACGGGATGTCAGGAACATCCAGGGGGTGTCAGGAACATCCAGGGGGTGTCAGGGACATCGGGGGTGTCCTCACTGCCCCGCTCCCCCCGCTCCAGGAGGACGAGGGGAACTCACCGGCACCGATGTCTCCACGGCCTCCAGGCCGACCGCGTGGTCGTCCTCCAGCTGGGCACCTGTGGGACAGCAGCGTTGGGTGGGGGGGCTTGGGGGGCACAAACCAACCCTGCCACCCCCGTGGGGTCACCAGAGACCCCCACCCCACCCACCCACGTCACGCCCACCTTGGTTCCGGAAGGTGAAGATTCCCTGGGGGCTCCACTCCTCGCTGGTGTCCTGGTACCAGTTCTCCACCATCTTCTGCTCGGCCCTGGGGGGTGGGACAGGGGGTGTGGGGGGGGTCACCATCAGCAGGGCCATCCCTTCCTGGACCACCCCCCACCATGAACCGAGGGACCCCCGACCCTCAGCCCCTCACTGAGGATGAGGAGCATCTTAAAAACCAAACCCCGAGGAGCTCTCCCGCCCCAAACCCGTCGCCTCTCACATGTTGTGGGACCCGGATCTCCGAGCTCGGAAAAGGAAGATGGAGAGGACGGCGACCACGGTGACCAGCACGGCCACGGCCAGGCCCAGGCCCACGGCCACTTTGCTGACCCGTGACGTGCAGCGCTCGTCCTGGTACCAGTACAGATGGGTCTCGTCGCAGCTGGGGGAGGGAGAGGGGGGACAAAGGGGTCAACCCAAAACTGGGACCCCCCCCCAAGAAGAAATCCCTGCCACCCCAGACCTGATTTTACAGCCTCAAGCCAGGCTTGAAGCAAAACTCTGCTCTGCCTCAGGATTTAAACCCGGAGATCCAGCAGGAGGTTTGGATCTGTGCAGGGGAAGACCCAATGACACCAACCTCAACGATTTTTGACCTGCAGAGAAAACCTTGGAGGTGGGCCAGAACAGTTGGATCCATGTGGACCCTCTCCAGCCCTGATGATTCCTGACCCATTTCCATGCAGAAATCCTCTTGGGAATGACCATGGAGATCCCCCAGAAGGTTGGATCCCTGTGGACCCTGCTCCAGCCCTGATGATTCCTGACCCATTTCCATGAAGAAAAGAGCTTGGAAAGGATTCTGAAGATCCACCAGATGGTTGGATCCATGTGGACCCAGATCCTGCTCCAATTCCGATGATTTCCTGACCCATTTCCATGCAGAAATCCTCTTGGGAATGACCATGGAGATCCCCCAGAAGGTTCAAAAATCTGCTCCAACCCTGATGATTCCTGACCCATTTCCATGCAGAAATCCTCTTGGGAATGACCATGGAGATCCCCCAGAAGGTTGGATCCCTGTGGACCCTGCTCCAGCCCTGATGATTCCTGACCCATTTCCATGAAGAAAAGAGCTTGGAAAGGATTGTGAAGATCCACCAGATAGTTGGATCCATGTGGACCCAGATCCTGCTCCAATTCCGATGATTTTTAGACCCATTTCCATGCAGAAATCATCTTGGGAATGACCATGGAGATCCCCAAGAAGGGTTGGATCCATGTGGACCCAGACCCTGCTCCAATTCCCATGACTTTTGACCTATTTCCATGCAGAAATCATCTTGGGAATGATCATGGAGATCCATCACGTGGACCAAAAATCTGCTCCAACCCTGATGATTCCTGACCCATTTCCGTGAAGAAAAGAGCTTGGAAAGGATTCCGAAGATCCACCAGAGGGGTTGGATCCACATGGGACGGCTTTGGAGGAGGAGGAGGAGGAGGAGGAGGAATTTCCTGCAGGCCTTACAAGCACTGAGGCCCTCTGCGGGTGATGTGGCACGTGCCCCGGTTGCAGTCGATGGTGCTGGCGGTGCCCGGCGTGCAGTTGGACATGCAGGACAACCCGGAGCTCGTCAGGTTGGGGAAGAAGAATTCCTGGTAGCCATTGGGCACTTGGCTCCGGCAGTAGGCTGGAGAGGGGAGAGAGGTCAACTGGGGGGGGAAACTGGGGGGGATCTGGGGGGATTTGAGGCACCCCAAACCCGGCTGGGTCCCCCCTCCACCCACTCACCGTCTTCATCGAATTCCAGCACCGGGCTGTTGACCACCACTTCGGAGGAGTTGAAGCACAGCTGGCCTGGAAGAGAGGTCAAATTTGGGGTGGGGTGGGGGGGCGGGGACAGCCCCACAGCCCCTCCCAGGGGTGTCTGTGCTGGTGTGGGTGTGTGGGTGGGAAGGTGTCCCCCACCCCACGGATGGCCCCGGTTGTCCCCACGCCCGGTGGCGGGGAGGTGACAAGGTACCGTTGGTGCAGTTGAGCTGCGTCGCCGCCGCCGTGATCTTCTCCTGCACGTTGTTCGTGATGTTCTGAAGCTTCTCCTGGCTCTGCGAGGTCACCATCAGGGACACGATGACGGTGTGGTCCACCACCACGCTGCCAGGCCTGGACAGGAAAACGTCACCGAGCCAAACTCCCTTTTTTTTCCCCCACGGAATGACCCCAAAATTCCCATTCCAGCCACCCCGGCGCTCACCTGAGGCGCTGCACCTCGATGCCCTTGTAGCCCTCGATTCCGGCGTAGACCACGTCCATCTGGAAGGGAGGATTCTCCAGCTGCCATGGTTGGGCCCCTTCCCTTCTCATCCTCCTGGACCCCCCCTCATTTTGGGTGTGTCCCCACCCCACCCCACCCCACCCCAAATCCATCCCGGACAACACCGTGCCAGAGCTTGGAGAGCTCGGGATGCATCCACCAGGTAAATCCCGAGCCCAGGTGTGTGTGTGGGGGGGTCTCGTGTCCCTTTACCTGCTTGATGAAGTTCTGGACGAACTCTTTGTAGGTGGGGGAGGAGGCGTTCTCCAGGTCCTGGGTGAATTCCCGGTTGGAGACCCGCAGCACCACCTGCACCGTCCCGTTGGTCTCTGGGAATGTCCAAAACCAGGCCATGAAGGAGGTGGAGCTTCCCGGGCAGGTGGGACCCGTAAATCTCCCCCCAAATCCTGGGAATTTGGGGTGAAGGGACCAGGAGGAACCTCCTCTGCCCACGGGAAGGGACCACCAGTGGCCCCGTGGCTCCACCGGGCGATCCCAGCAAGGACTGAGGCCACATCCCAATCCCCAAAATTCCCACCTGGTCCTCCCAGGTGGATTCTGCTGGTGGTTTGGAGCTGAGCCATTCCCCACATCCCAAAATTTCCAGGTGGGGAATCTCAGGTGGATCCCACGCCTGCCTCACCCTCGGTGGGCGGGATCCAGTGGAAACACCACCCCTTCCCAAATTTTGAGCTCCTGAGAGACTCTGACACCCCCACGGAGGAGGTTCTTTGGGATAGGGTCACACCTGGTGGAGAACCCCTCCAGATCCTCCTCACCTGGTCAGATCTCATCCCGACATTGGGCTCACCCCAAAAATAAAGGGATGGAATTCCTACCGGCGTTGGTTTCGATGGTGTTGCTGATGTCACTGCAGGTGGCCCCGGTGAAGCCGGGCAGACACTGGCACTGGCCATTGGCCCAGGTGCCGCCGTTGTCACAGGTGCCTGGAAGGAAAAGGGATGGGAAAGGAACGGGAAGGGACACGGGAAGGGTCCAGGGAGGAGGGAGGGGCGGGAAGTACCTGGAGTGGTGGTGGTGGTGGTTGTTCTGGTGGTGGTGGTGGTGGTGGTGGGCCTAGGGGTGCTGGTGGTGGGTGTAGGTGTGGTGGTGTTGGTCACAGGTGTGCTGGTGGTGGTCACAGGTGTGCTGGTGTTAGTCACAGGTGTGCTGGTGGTGGTCACAGGTGTGCTGGTAGTGGCCCTAGGTGTGGTGCTGTTGGTCACAGGTGTGGTGGTGTTGGTCACAGGTGTGCTGGTGGTGGTCACAGGTGTGCTGGTGGTGGTCACAGGGGTGGTTGTGGTGGTCCCAGGGCCAGTGGGGATTCCAGGGCCAGTGGTGGTCCCTGGACCAGTAATGGTTCCAGGGATTGTGGTGGTCCCAGGACTGCTGGTGGCCCCAAGGGTGGTGTCAGTAGTCTTGGGGATTGTGGTGGTCCCAGGGCTGGTGGTAGTCCCAGGACCAGTGATGGTTCCAGGGACTGTGGTGGTCCCAGGACTGCTGGTGGCCCCAAGGGTGGTGTCAGTGGTCATGTGGACTGTGGTGGTGGTCCCAGGGAAAGTTGTTGTCTCGAAAGTGGCGTTTGTCCCAGGTGCTGAGGTGGTCCCAGGGAATGTCCCGGTGGTCCCAGACGGGGTGGTGAATTCAGGGATGACCGAGGTTGTGGCAGGGGGTGTGGTCGCCTCAGGCATGGGAGTGGTGGTCCCAGGGGTGGTGGTGCTGATCTCAGGGATGGTGGTCCCAGGTGTGGTAGTGGTGGTCCCAGGACTCATGGTGGTCCCAGAGCTGGTGGTGGTGGCCTCGGTGATTGTGCTCATGTCAGGAGGGATGGTGGTGGCCCCAGGACTGGTGGTGCTGGTCCCAAATGCAGTCGTGGGCAATGAGGTCACAGTGGTCCCAGAGGTGACGGTTGTGACCTCAGGGCTGGTATCACCAGTGACGGTTGTGCTGGCCACAGAGGAACTGGAAATCTCAGGGCTGGTGGTCCCAGTCAAGGTTGGGCTGGCCACAGAGGGACTGAGGGTCTCAGGACTGGTGGTCCCAGTGAAGGTTGTGCTGGCCACAGAGGGGCTGGAAGTCTCAGGGCTGGTGGTCCCAGTGAAGGTTGTGCTGGCCACAGAGGGACTGGAAGTCTCAGGACTGGTGGTCCCAGTG